GCTTCCCATCCCCCATTATCCGTCATTCATGGGCCTCCTCAAACATTGAGCCAAAGCGCGGTAGCACAAACGACAACTCTTGTCGGCTTTTCGGGAAATACAACAATGCTTCGCCTCCTTGAAGCATCTGCAAAGAACTTCACCGATGCCACGCACATCTCGCGGCTGTCGACGCGGTACACTATCGCAAATATTTTCAGGCGTTCTCTCAGCAGATATTCGTCTAACACTGCTCGCAAACAGTAAGTGTGGGACACGAAAAGCAACGAAACTAATCACGACGAGGAACGTGTGACTTGAATTATTGCTGCTCGAAACAATCACTTGCACAACCCACACAAGCTGTCATTCTTTCTGGACGATCATTGACATTTCCAATCAAGGAGTGGCCAACTGGGTTGCTGTCCAGGCGCTAAGCAGCTTGATTTACGTTCCTATAATGAAGAAACCCTATTATTTACCATACACCCCCATTATGGTAACTTACGTTAAGTTTCTTAACAGCAGCCCAATCGATCCTGTTTTGTCGTCACACACAGAGCTCTCCCTCAAGGACCGTTCCAAATCTGACACACACAAACGCCTGCAGTACTACTTGCAGGTTCATGGGACGTAGCAAGTACAGTCATAAGTACCCTAACTGGAGATATAAATAATTATAAAGTTAGTAAGTAGTCTTATCTATTCCTTGATTTACTAAGCCCCATGATCCTCCAAGTACACGAAGTCCCATGAAGAATTCATTCTGGCGTCGTGGACTTGGAAGCATCACAGCGCTTTTTGCAATGTGGCCTGTCTTACAGCCGGCTTGCATGCTGTGGCCTCCAAAACTTACATGAAAATCGAATCCCAACATGATAGTTCTTTCTCCTCAATTAAAAGGATTTTGGAGTACTGGCATGCTGTGGCTTCGGCCTCAAACAAGGTTGCTCAAGAGTACAAAAGCGAAAAAGCAGGCGAGCCTTTTGCTCTTTTTTTTTGGCGTGGGCGGGCCTCAAAGACAGCAGTTGCTGCATTGGGTCCCAGCAAGAACTACAATAAAGTCAATAAGCCAAACACCTGTACAAAAGAAGAAGCTAAATAAAAAAGACTATGCAATTCCTGGTGAAACAGGCTGCGACTTGCAGACTTAGCCGGCAGATATCGTTCAGCCCTTGTAAAGCACCAGCTGCTACAGCCGCTCAGATGCCCCGCTTTCCAGTTGTACTGGGTAGCGCAATGGCGTACACACATATTGCCCTGCTTCCCAAGAGCGGTGGGTCGTGCAATGTCAATGAACCAGTATAAGGGCCGCACGCAATCCTGCCCAGCTCCCCGAGAGAAGGTCTCGCTGGGGCATAGAAGCAAGCATGGCTGCAGGGGCAGCACCTCCACAACCCACGGAGGCAAGGTGTATGCCAAGAAAGATGGCTGGTGCGCCAAACATATTTCACTCGCAAGCCCAGCTTCCCACCAGAGTGGGCCTCACAAGGGCAAAGGCACTAGAACATAAAAGCTGAAGGTCGAGTCAAGCAGGGCAAGGCTTCAAGAGACTGTATGGCGGCATATACACTGGCAGGGGCAACTCATGGCACACAAAGATTGCCCTGCTTCCCATGATCGGTGGGGCAACAGCACCACATTGCCTTAAACCAATGCAAGAACGACACGCGACCCAGCCCAGCTTCCCAACAGAGTGGGTCTCGCAAGGGCAAAGAGGGCAATCCAGATTTCGGGGGCAGTAACACCACGACCACAGAGGGCGAGGTGTATGCCAAAAAAGATGGCTGATGCGCAACCACATTGCTCCCACAAGCCCAGCTTCCCACCAGTGTGGGCCTCGCAAGGGCAGGCGCTAGGATATAAGCTGGTGGCTAGGTCAATCAGGCTGGGCCACCAGAGACAACGCAGTAGCATACCCCAAGCATTGACCACACAATGATCCACATGCAACCCTGCCCAGCTTCCCACACGGTGGGCCTCGCAAGGGCAGGTGAAATCGCCAGAACGACAAAGCAGCGCCAACCGACCCAAAGATAAGACAAGGGCCGGCGCCAGGGACAAAGCGAGGACCCACAATGAACTCCCAAGCCCAGCTTACCACCAGAATGGGCCTCGCAAGGGCAAGCTCGCTTAGTCGTAAGGACTCCCGGCCATGTCAAGGCGGGGGCCACTACGGGCGAGCGCAAACGTGTAATGGGGAGTGCATGTAAGTCCTCCATGGGAAGTAAAGGCGCCGTGCCAACCCAGGCCATCCCACGGTGTAGGGCTGCACCGCCGCCACTGCCTGTCGGATTGCCGCGGCGCGGAAGAACTCCGTGCCCTCGTACTGCGATAGGATCAGATAGCAAAGGCGGCGGGACACCGAAGCCAATGTAACTATATGGTCTCGAAGTCATAATTTGTAGAATGGTGGCACGCACTTGAAAACCGAGTCGAACGATCAACTGAAAGTTGGTCGGAACCCAGACTCCTCTGAAGGTGCGTTGTGTCAGGTAGGAAGAGACCCGCTCCTGATACTCGGCAAGCTGCCGCTGAAGGGCCACACCCGCGGCACGACGCTCGTTGGGGTCCGTAGTAGACAGCAGTTGCCGCGTGGCCCCCGAGGGCGGAGCGCCGAAGAGCACATGGAATGAATGTCCAGAGAGGCACTGGGCAACCTGCACCACAATGTTCTCAGGAAGCATGGCCATGGCGCAGTGCCTAGCCCGAGCTGAGGGAGCCATAGCAGCAATGTATATAATACTCCAGCAGGCGAACGGTCGAACTGTCGCAACCGCTTGCCGTACTGCCGCCGCAAAGCCGAATGGCCAGGGCTGATATGACTGGGCAACCAGCCAAGCCAGAAGACCACACTGCATCCGCGGCGGCTCTGCCCCGGCAGAGGGCCATGAGCATGCCAAGTGGGGGCCCATGGAGGGGGGCGTCAGAGCCAGAAAGAGGCGACACATGGTAGAACCGCCGCAAAGCCGAATGGCCGGGGCGGAGCTAATCCGATGCGCTGGAGCTACGGCCGCAGGCGAACCTGCGGCGCATGCCACCCCCAATACTTGGAGGGTCGGGGGACTTAGTAACTGGTTATTTTAGGGACTTATAAGTACCATAACCCCAATTAGTGTCCCGTTTAGGGTACTTATAAGTCTACTTACTACCTACTTACTAAGTGCCCCGACCCTCCAAGTAGTGAATCGCAAAGTCCCACAAGATCCGACGAAAATGCGCCGGGTCCATGTGTTCATCATTTAGTTTGTATAGGAAGGCCCACTCGCCGCGGTCCTGACGTCCAGCGAGCTGCGCCCTGGTGAAGTGATATGTATTTGAGGGCTTGTGGTATTTGGGGACCAGCCTGTAGCCCAAAAAGGGACAGCGTAGGCCATCCGCCAGCCCTCCCTGCGCCCGAAACTGTCGGGCCGCGTCAACCCAATCCTCGAAGTTGAGTCCGTCACCCAACGTGTAGGACTCGTACTCGACATAGGGGGACATCGGCACATCGGCAAAGTCCCTCCTGAGGATCTCCGCAAAGCCTCCAAGAGAACGCCAGGTCTCTGCCCTTCGGGCGTGGTCTCCCATACATCGCCCCCTTGCTTTTCCAACCAGATTTGGCCGTCTTCAAAATCCGACCACGGCACTACCATGTTCGGATAGTGCGCATTCCGGGCATCACGATGGACACCCGTCCTGACGTCGTCGAAGAGCGCGATAGCGGATGCTTGAAAGCCTGGCGCAACCTGTTGCAAGTACCTTGTTAGAACCTGGGTAGCCTTAGGCAGCGCAGTGGAATGATGCCTCAAACCGACTAAACCACCCTTGCAATACGCGCCCGTTGAGAAAGCACTGCCCGGTGCAGCTGAGGTCGACTCCCTAGGCGGCTCCTCGCGGGGCAGCATGTCAAATAGCTCTAACACACGGCAACGTTCTAGCGGCCCTGGCGCCGCCAGGAGCTCTGCTGCAGCACTCTCGATCGGGATCGCCCAAGGACTTCAAAGGAAGCGCGGGGGAACTACAACCTGAACGGGAAGAAGGAGCCGCCGGGGAACTACAACCTGAAGGCGAGGACGGGTCAAAAGCAAATGAACCTGAAACGCCGGGCAAGGGTGGATCCTTAGGGCGCGCACTGTGCACTTCAGGGACTTTAAATACCATATAAGGAACCTGCGACTTAGAGGATTTGCACTCCCCATCTGCTTGCAGCGAGAAGTCGATTGCTGCTGCCATAAATTGACACAGTTGAGTGGGCCAGCCGCAGGCCCGCGGCAAGTTCCACTGTTGCGTGGCCTGCGATTTGCCGGTGCTAGTAGCATGACCCCCATGAGGGCACGACGCGGGCAGCGGCCCAACGTAGCGCTGATCTGCATCCAACACCGGCAGCCCGGTCAAAGGCCGCGGCGAATGACGAAAGAAGGGCAGATTGCTCAAGTAACGTGTAGGTTTTGCCATGTCAGCCCCGAACTCACACAAGTAATGCACAAAGGTCGTGGCAGCAAAACGCGGTATGCAGTCAAGTAATTCAGGCCAAGCCCAAATGGAGCTCGGCACAATGCCGTCGGCAGTGCGGCCCAAGTGTTCCGGCGCCTCTCACATGAAGAAGCAGCCTCGGCCACGAAAACTGTTGCTTTCAAACACTGGTCGATAAAATGATTGGCAGAAGTCACCTTCTGCATGGACGAATCCTTAAGCCATGGAAAACCTCTGGGCCACTTATCACTGCGGAGCGGTGGGGGCCCAGGTCGCTTATGCCTCGCCCGACTAAAAGTATCGTAGGGTGGCGAAATCAAGATCACGGTTTTCGGTTGCTTCGCAAGCTTAAACGAATGATCCCAAGCGTCACCACAAAACATGTTGTCTGCATCAAATCCACACGCAATGAATTCCGGCTGCGACACGCAGTTGCTGAGGTGCGGTTTCCAATCAAAGCGCTCAGCAGGATCTGCACAGACATGCACCACCCTTGATGCCACAGGTTGGCCTGACAGCAACGATGGCAGCTCTTGCCCATGCGCCCCCTGCTGAGCGCAACTTTGTCACTTGCTTGCTGTCGCAGCTTCGTGCTGCGAGGCTGGGTGCTCTCCGAAACACCCGGCCACACGACATGCATGAACACGGGTGCACTTCGGATCGGTGCAGCCTCGGTGGTTGTAGGCATAGCACAGCTGGCGACCATCAGGGGTCGCTGACGCAAGCGCAAGCTGTTTCCCGTTAGCCAAGACAACCTGGCCCTTGCCTTTCTTGCCTTTGCCTTTCCCTGTTCCACGTCCGTTCTGATGCGGCGCGGGCGGCAGGGGTATCTCTTGCCCCTGCGTCTTATCCTTTCCTTTGTGATTTCCCTTCCGAAACTTATTCGGCGTACCAGCGGTGTGCAGGGCCAGTGGCGTCGTGAAGTAAGCCTCTTTCAAAGATGGGTCCTCACGCACTACCCGAAGCGCCTCTGACATGGTGGCGGTTCCCTCCAGGATCATCTTGAAAGCTTCGACCCTCAACTTGTATTCATAACTCAAAACGATGTTCCAAGGTGGCCGGTTGAACTGAGTCTCCTGCCCTGAAGCAGTGGGCAATTTCAAGTTGCCAACACGATCTCCCAAGATGTATTCTACAAACCTTGTAAAATCTTCAAGCTGAAGCCCTTGCAACCATGCCTTTGCCTTGAACCGGGCACTCATGCAGAGCCATGCATGGGCTTCCACCTTCATCAAACGTCGGTAGCCCTCAGAGTGATGCGGCATTTCCAACTTCTGCATAGTCTTCGTCACACGTACATGCCCGGTGGGATCAATGCAAGTCTGGAGGCTCTCTACTTGCGAATCTTTCTTCGAAGAGATACGGTCAAGCGAACTCGCGAGGGGCTCATTACTCTCGCACTCTTCGGCCTTGGTCGCCAAGTACTCTGCACTTGGCGTCTCGCTCTCATTCATCTTCCCATAGGCATCTGTCACAGCTTTCAACATAGCTTGGCGTTCCTGCACTTGCAAAATCCTCTTCTGGCCTAACACTTTCGCCTCCGCACGCAGTTCAATGTCTTTACTCGCATACTCCTTCGCAAGTTCCCATGCTGCTTTTTGGCGGCCACTTCAACACGGCCCGCTGCAGTATCAGGATTAATCCCGAAATCACGCGCAGCTGTCCTGGCACCTTCGCGATTGTCGGCGATCGCCTGGAATCGCCTACGACTCTGATGGAGTCGCGCAACCTGATATTGCGTGGCCAGCGACGCACTGGCTTCTTGAAGCACGTATTGCAAGTCGGAATCCATCTTGGCAACTTCAGCTCTGTGATCTGCCTCACTGGGCAATGCCATACTGTCTGAAACAGCACTGCGCTGTGCAACTGAAACCGCAGTCTTCGCGGTCGCCCATGGCAACTGAAAGTCACGTGGCTACTCAGACTGGAAATGTGAAAGAACTGCATGCACACAAAGCTTCCACTGTAAACTCACGAAGCACTAAAGTCATGTACATGCCGACGCTCCTGTGAAGCCACCTCAGCCAAAGTTCCTCACGCAAGCTCCTACCAAAGCATCACAATGTATCAGCCAAGTACAAGACGCATCTCATGCACAGCTCAAACCCACCGCATCAGACGATGTGACACAATGCTTAAAACTCACCCCTCATCGCTGCTCGAGTCACTTGTGGACCCACTCGCTGCTAGTGTCCTGATCATCTTCAGCTCCTTGATCTTCTTTTCATGCGATGCTTGCAATCACGACAAATGCTGTCAATCTGCTCCAATGAAACGCGCTCGACGAACTCAACCCTATTGCCTATTGCAATGATGTGGCTTAACATGACACGGTCCATTCAAGTGCAAGCGATGGCCAGTCCTAACGACTGATGGTAATAAAGAAAACCCGTGGCACCGCCCTCCATGGTCACTGCTTCGGCGGCTTCCTCCTCTTCACTGGCATTGGCATTCATCTAGCTCAATGACAGGCCACTTGTTACCCAGACAGCGAACCACACGCTAAGTGGTCTTGATGTCCAAACCACACGTGGTGGCTTGTAGCTTCAAAGTTCGAATGTGTTCAAGGAGTCAGAAGCCTGGACCTGAACCAACACTGGGAGAGAGCCTCGAACCTAGGGTTCAAACATCGAAATTCCCTCCGAAACTGGATTCGATCTTTGAGTTGAACTCCAAGTTGAACTCAACTTTGAACTTCTTGAACTGGAGTTGAACCTGGAGTTGAAGTGCTCTGAAAGGCGAAGAGATAGAGTTTGAACCCAGGGTCGAAACCCAGGTTTCGAACATAGAGTCTCCGAACCGGAAGTTTCCGAACCCAGAGTTCGAACTCTTGTATCATTGCTTCTTGTTTTCTCATTTTTTCGCAAAATTTTATTTGCAAAACCTCTCACAAAATTCTGTGTGGCTTCTTCCTTCTCTTTTTGTTTGGTGATTGTTGGTGTTCGAACCGCGTTCGACTTTCGGTGGAGTCTAGAACCCGGAGTTGGGCGGTTCATTTGTTCGCGCCTTTTAACCGCTCTCCAGTTCAACTCCGCAACGGTAACCATGTTTTTTCAAAGACGTGTAAAGTCTGGGCAATCTGAGCAAGTGGACAAAGTCTCAGAGACACAGCGGCGGCTGTCAAGCAATTCGACATGGCTTAAGTCGCTGACAGTAGACCTTGTGGGCGCGCTAGTCACCGATGATAAGTAGTTATGATCATTGCACTTGCAAGGAAGAATAAATCTAATGACAAAAAAAAAGAAAAAGATTCAATGACAAGGAGTCTTTCTTCAAGAGGGTTCAGAAGAACATGAAGTTTCCTTAAGAATGGGCATGCTGGAGTGTGGTCTTGGTTTCCAATGGCCACAGTAGTCTTCTGGAGTTCTGGCGTTGTGTTTTGCGCGTTTTCTTTAACTGCCTGCTGGATGTCCTCGGCATAGCAGAACCTGTCAGGAACTTTCTGGCCTTGGGTTCTCTCTCCTTCTAGCATCTCTATTCCCCCAACTCTGTTCACTGAGTCACAGTTTCTGCAAGTCTAGGTCGTCAAGAAACTGTGTTACTAAGTCATAGTTTCTAACACTGTCAGTGTTCGTTGTGTCCTGGCTCCTTCGAACGTTCTGTGGAGGGCCCACCTGGCGAAGCCAGAATTGCTTGTGTTTTGCGGGCCTTTAAATGGGGTCGCCCGACAGCCCCATAACTGTGCAGTGCAGCTTTGAGATCGTAAAGACTAGCATTTCTGAACAGAGCAGATCACAGCCATGTAGAGTTATGGTTAGGCCGGCCGGAACAGATCACACAAGAGCGGCGGAATTTTCTGGAAGGTATCTCTGCCAGATCTGAACAGGACTTCTTTGAGTGCAGAGTTATGGTGTCGAGAGGTGTGGCTGACGGTTCGGAATTTGTGGGGTGCTTAACTCCAAAACCCCTCATGCACGATACGGGCTCACCTGGCTCTTGCCAAACAAAGAAACAATCCGAACTGCACTTTTCGCTGTCGCACCGAAGGTTGCACTTCTCCTTCAAGTTCTTTTTTCTCCTTGATTCAGTTCCATCGTGCAATCGGAGTCCTGGAGTTGCGTATCTCTTTGCGCAGGAGGTGCATTCTGCAAACCTCCGATTTCATAGGTCTTCCACAGACCCGTGCGAGCTCCGCACCACAGGCCTGTGGCAGTTTCAGTTGATTTTAATCCTATAATGGTGCCCCTGTGTCTCGCCAAGGTCAGGAACACTTTCTGTTTTCTTCTTTGTGAGTTTTAGAGAACCTTAGGTGTAGTTGTGAACGGTAGGGGTAGGGGAGAGTTGTCTGTCTGTCGGTCGCTGCGCTCACGCTTCCTATCTCACCTTGCGGTGAAAGTGATCATTACCAGAAGCGTGTCCAACCGGAGTTTTCCTCACGATTTTTCACGAACAACGGTGTTTCCCGAGAGCGGACTTCTAGACGAAGTCCGGGGAACACCTGGGCCGTGTAGCAGAGTTGCCAGCGCAGAGAAGCCGTTAGGAGTCCTTAGGACTTACCTCGGAAGTGAGTGTGCTGAAGTCTTTGTCCGCGCCCCGTTTCACTTTGGCTCAAGACTTGCACTGCGTGACAAGCGCGTGGTGAACAGTTGGTTGCGACGAAAGGTGTAAAAGTGCTGTTAGCTTTCACTGCTGTAGCCTTGCGTGACGTAGTCAGTCAGTCGGCTTGCACCTCCTTTTACTAAACCTAGAAGTGTGCCTCAAGGCGCGTTTGGGTTTTAACGTGGTAGCGGAGCTCAAGGTTGCTCCTCAGAGCCATGGACCCACGAGCCGAGCCTAGCCGCGACCGTTCCCCAAGAGGACGGAGTTCGGGGCGAAGTGCTAGTCGTGCCAGTGGAGTTTCTTCTGGCTTTCCTTCAACCCCTCGAAGTGCACCTGGCTCGCGGACTCGTGGAAGGTCCCTCCCTGCTCGGAACAGTCCGACAGCACACCGGCCTGTGAGTAGACCCAGACCTCTTGTGAGTGCAGGTCAAGTGCCTCAGGTGCCTTTTCCACAGGTACCTCAACAGGTTCCGTTGCAGCAGGGTTTTCAGCAGCAGCAGCAGCCTCAGTTTGGAACGCAACCGACTTTCCCTCACGGAGGAGGGAATCCGCAGCAGGCATCTGTGCCTAGTCCAGAAGACAACACTGTCAACCTTTTCAGGCAGATGTTGCAAGCCCAGGATGAACAGATCCGAGCTCAGCAGGGCCAGATTTCGCAGCTCACCGAGATGGTGAAGACGCTCGCCGTTGCGAGTGCAAACGCTGCAAGTTCGGCCGCAAGTGCAGCTCCTGTTGCTGCAAGTTCGTCCCAAGGGACGCCCGCTGAAGCTCTTGGAAGCCTGGGTGCCATCAGAGTTGACTCTGATGGTGTTGTGAAGATGGATGTGGACACAGGCTTGCGCAGCAACAGGGCGGAAAACTACATTCCGTCCCTGCCAAAGTTGGCAGCAGACAAGATGAGATCGCGCCATGAGGAAATCTCCACGTGGACCGCTTACCGCGAAGAACTGACCTCCTGGCTGTGTCTTTTAGACGACCGCTACGCGGAGGAACTGCAAGAGGCTGTGGAGAGCGGTGTTCAGGTTCAGCAGATCAGCCTCTCAAAGGGGAAGGCCGCTCGTTCCACTAAGCTGTGGTACCTCTTGAAGCAGGCTCTCGCTGGTTTTCAGCGAGGAGTTGACATAGCCAAGCTTGTCGAGTTGAGTCAAGGCGGTGCCGCTGCAGGGTACGACCTCTGGCGTGAGTTGAACAAAGAACTGTCTGTTAGGTCTCGTGTGGAGGGACAGGCGCTCAGAGAGCAGGCTCTCTTGATCGCGCCACCAAAGCACTTGAGACGGCCATTGGATATTTTTCGCCATATGATTTCTGATTTTGCTCGCTACCGCACGCTCGTTGCCAACAAGTACCCAGACCTTGAACTGCAGCAGGCTGATGTTATCAGCTGCATCTTGAAGCACCTTCATGATGATTGCAAGAAGTACCTTTTGTTGCATGGGTCTTTGACAACGTTGGAGCAGCTTGAGCGCGGTTTGGTTTTCTATGATGAGCAGCTTCGTGTTTTGAACTTTCACAAGGAAGCCTCGAACGCCAAGGGCTTTGCAGCTTTTGGTGGTGACCGTTCTGAAAAGGGTGAGCCCAAGGGTGGCGAGCCCAAAGGAAAAGATCATGGAAAAGGCCAAGGCAAGCATGGTGATAAAGGCAAAGGCAAAGACAAAGGAGGAAAGGGAAAGGACAAAGGCAAAGGTGGCAAGAAGGGCGGAAGGCCACGATCTGCAACGCCGGCTCCTGGAAAGAAGAAGCCGGGCACTTGCAATTACTGCCACAAGCCGGGCCATTGGGCCAACGAGTGCAGGAAGAGGATTGCCGATGAGAAGGCTGCTGCGACCGCAGCGGCGGCAACAGAGAGTGCCGCTCCCAAGGTGGCCCCTCCTGCACCTTCCTCGACTGCGGCGCCAGCTCCCACTGCCCCAAAGGGTGCCGGGAAGATTGGCAAAGCGGCCCTCCTTATGTCGTCATTGTTGCCCGCGGCAGGGCAGATTTCTGAAGCAATGCCTGAGAGGGGACAGTTTTTCACCATGACTGCCTTGATTTTCACGTTTTTCATGTTTTGCATGGTAGGATGCTTGATTTGTCGGTTGGTTGCATGCTTGAGTAGCCCACGGCAGTCATGTTTCACGTATGCTTGCGTAGCCGTAGCAGTGATTGCTTTGAGCCTTGCTTCCGCGCCGCAGCCTCAGCTTCGGGATCGGTCTTCAGAGTGCCTTGCTTTTCCAACTTTGGCACTTCCTGCAGTCACTAGGGACGACCCCTCGTATCTCTTGATTGATAGCGGTGGGAGTGTTCACCTTGTTTCGCAAGACATGCTTGGAGTGACTGCGAAGCTGATCCGAGAGCTTGAGGTTGAGCCTCTCTTTGTAAGTGTCGCCAACGACCAGACTATGGAGATAACTAGGTATGGGTTGCTAGAGCTTTGGTTCCCTTGTTTCGAAGAGGGGCCCTCTGGAACCCAAACTTACAGAGAGATTCGAGTGCAGCTGGAAGCGTATATTGCTCCCAATTCGATAAGCATCCTTAGCTCAGGCATCTTGCAGTCCTTAGGCTTTAGGATCTTTCATTATGACTATGATCCTCAGTTACACGTAGCCTATCCTCCGGGTGGTCTGCGCTTTGAGACAGAATTGTACGCCAACACGTCGTGGTTGAAAGCTTGCACCTATGTAGAGCCAGATCCTTCTATGCTTGTTTTGCAAAGTGAAGAGAAGGGAAGCGTAGGCAGTGCAGTTTCGTCGGTTGCCTCGTCTCACCCCTTAGGAGAAGTAGGATCTAGGAGTGTAGGTAGCTTGTGCGTCGGTCGGTCGGTTGCGTCTTCTCACCTTTTAGGTCCCGGCAGTGAATACCCCGAAGCCCAAAGCCGCTCATGCTCGGAAGGCCAAATAGGGTGTGTAAGGCGTGATGTCTGGTTCGAATCCGGACCAAG